CCCCAAAACCCCAAAACCCCAAAACCCCAAAACCCCAAAACCCCAAAATCAGTGTATTTAAAAAGATTTTAGGATACTTAGAGTTTAAGTTATTAAAGTTATATATAAATATTTAAAAATCAAATTTAAAATGATAACAATTGGAAGAGATAAAAATCAAATTACCACAACTTAAAATCATAGGAATAGAAGAATTATCAAGGAAAAGGTTTTGCCTCAAAGAGAGACCCTAGATATTAATTCAGTTCAACTTGACCCAAATTAGTCAATTTTCGCTAAGGGTTCAAATCTATTCAATAAACCTATCGCAAACTTCGGTAATCAGAATGATGCATAATCCAGTTATCAACTATAAAACTCAAACTTTAATTCTAGCAATCTCAGTATGATAACTTAGACTAACTTTGGTAGCAGTAATTCCTTTCAAAATTAGCAAAGTAGTAATTTCAATAGTGTTAATGTGAACAATAACTAGCCTTAAAATAGACTTAACAACTTTTTCCATGGTTCAGCAAATTCAAATAATCAGTAAAACAATGCAAATAAAAGTGCTACTTAAAATACGTAATAAAACCTATTCGCTTAACTATACTAGACTAACACCAATGCTGCAAATAATAACAATAAGAATTAAAATAACAATTCAAATGGAGTCAATTAGAGAAACGAAAACAGTAACAATATCAATGGTGGAGGGAATGTAAGCGACTTTAATAAATATCTAGTACCTAGCAAAGATGAAGCTTTTGTAACACCAAGAAAAGAGAACAAAATGCAAGATAGTCGATCTTCTGATGAGGGTGAGATAGTCTTGGTAAATAATCAGAATCAGCCTATGCAGTAAACTTAGCTCAGACAAAATTTAACTTAACATAACTCCAATACTAATTAGTCTCAATAGATTAACAAAGTTAACGGTTAGTCATATGTTCAATAAAAGATCTAAGAGTAGTAAAGGAGAATCAATGATCCCCTAAAATATCAAACTCATAATACTGGTGGAAATAAATAATAGACCTCTAATAATTAGGCCACTAGTTTTTAGCATATTCAACCCAAACCCATAAGTAATCTCTCCTAAAATTAGCAACCTAAAGAATTCCTTACTCCTGAAGCTAAACCTTAAACCAGCTAGTAGCAAGCATTATCAGCTAGTTCTCATAGCAGTTAAGATTCTGATAAAACAAAAGTTAAAACTGAATCTGAAATCCTGTAAGATATTGTTACATACATGAATTCAAATAAAGATAAGTTTCAAACTCAAAATTTTCCCCCAAAAATAGATTAAGTAACACTATGCAAGGGCCTATAACTTTTTAATGAATTTCTAACTGTAAACAAAACTTTTGTCTTCAAACGTCATCTGAATTCAAGATTCTATTAGCTAATTAAATCAAAAGCTTTTGATGAATTTATATCTATTCACAAAGGTACCAAACCTAGTAATATAAATGAGAATTAGAGGATAAATGTTGAGATTAGGCTATGGTATGCGTTGGATGAGATTGTAGAAACTAGGGGATTATCTAAAATGATGAAAATTACAATGAAGGAAAAGAGTATTAGTTTACCTTAGTTAAAAGTAATCTCACAAGCTAAAATGTACAAGAGCGATGTTGAAATAAATAATTTAATGCCAAAGATAGAATATAAATGAAAAATATTTGCTATTCTCAAACTGATTAAAATCAAAGTATTTCATTAAAATTGATCTTGCGGGGTTTTGGGGTTTTGGGGTTTTGGGG